ACTGAAGATCAGCTTATTAAACAACTGGAATCAAGTGTAGCCCTTGTTTGATTACAATAAAATCCTGCAAAATATGAAAACCTTAAAGGATAAAATTAGTGACCCCTGCCTTAAGGCAAGATTTACCTGCACACCTGATTTAACTCATCTGTTATTTGCTAGATTTAGCAGGTGTGTTTGAGTAGAGAGAAGAGCCTTCATTGCAAAAAAAAGAAAGTCATGGAATCAATATGCCAGAAAAATCTGGAAAAACTGCCCAATAATCAGCAGATTGGAAGAGGTCAGCTTATGTTCCAATACCAAAGGAAGGAGACCAGAAAGAGTGTGCTAACTACCATACAATTTCCATTTTACTGTATGGCAATAAAATCATGCTCAAAATTATCCAACGCCGACTACAGCCTTACACTGAATGAAAACTGCCAGACATGCAAGCAGGATTCAGGAATGGCAAAGGAACAAGAAATATTATTGCTAGTGTATGCTGAATAATTGAAAAGCCAAGGAATTCAAAAAGGAAGCTAATTTATGCTTCACTGACTACTGAAAAGCCTTCATCTGTGTCGACTACAAAATTAAGGAATGTCCTCAGGAAAATGGGTATACCAGAGCATCTCATTTTAATGAGGAATCTCTGGACTGATCAGCAAACCACAGTCATTACAGAAAATGGATAAACAGACTGCTTCCACATCAGCAAGGGAGTTCGGCAAGGCTGCCCACTATCACTATACTTGTTCAACCTTTATGCCAAACATATAACAAAAAAAAAGCACGACTGCAGGAAGAGAACTGAGGAGTCAAGATTTGTAGAGGAAACATCAGTAACCTTTCATATGCAAAAGAAACAGTAGCATTTGGTTCCCTGAGCGAATTTGTCAATGATAAAACAGTGACTAGCTGGAATATGTCAAAAGGAGCATTTTTTTTCTTGATGAATGGCATTGCAAATGAAGGTAAGCAGCGTTCGATCCGTTTCAGTGTTTGTGGGGCCAAATGCTACAAACATGCCTCTGTGAAAAGCATGGACTTGGTTAAAAAGGTCCAGGATTATCACAACCCTAAGCCTTCTGTCATCATGCAGTCACAGTCACGCAGGAGTTATGGTGGTTGTGTTTGTGGTGGAGCTATGGCAGCTCTCTGAGAACTGTGAATTTGGAACAGTGTTAGGGGACATCTTGTGCAACAGGTTAATCTGTGGCATAAATGGTGACAACATGCAGCTTTAGGAGACTTTCAAAAAGGTGCTTGAGATTGTACAACCAATGGAGTCAGTGGCTACTAACACAAGAGACATAAACACAGCTGGGTGAGTGGCACTGTTGGGCACTGTCCATTACATATCAAAAGTCAGGAAGGTCCTCCAGCTGAATGTTACTATTGCAGTGGACCACACTTTGCTAATGACTGTTGTTTTAAAGACTTTGTCACAAGTGCCAGAAAAAAGGGCACATAACTAAAAATTGCAGAGGTGCTAAGAGTAGGAAGAGTGTTCCTATAATATACTCCACATTTGAGAACCCCAGGCTAAAACCATCTGTGCAGTACGAAACATTGATGGGAAAGAGTTAAACATAGAAATGGACATGGGTGCCTCTGTTTCAGTGATTAGTGAGAAAGGGTACAAGACACTGTGGCACCCTGGAGCAGCACCTGCAATTTCAGATGATGACATCAAACTCTAAACTCACACTGGTGTAGTGCATTTGAATTCTTGGGGCCAAAGAGGTATGCATAGTTTACTAAAGCCAGAGGATTAAGGCAAAGCTGTTGGTGGTGGCTGGGAAAGGTCTAAGTTTGCTGAGCCATGATCTGCTTGAAAAATTGTTATACTGGGCAGAGATTAAGCATGTGTCGGCTGTCGAAGATATTCTAGCAAAATACTCTGAAGTTTTTAAGAAAGAGCTGGCCAATCTCCGTGGCGTAACGATGAGACTATGTGTAGATGCACAGGCGCAACCTCACTTTTTTCAAACCACGCCCAGTGCCATATGATATAATCAAGGTGGAAGCAGAACTGGACAGGCTCCAGACATTAGGTATCATTGAGCCACTGGAGTTTTCCAACTGGGCAGCCCCAGTAGTACCAGTTCCAGAAACAGAATGGCTCAGTACAGATATGTGGGGACTATAATTTGACAATAAACCAGGCTTTAAAAGTAGACACACACCCTCTAACATGGGTGGTGATCTGTTTGCTATGCTATTTGTTGGCAAAACTTTCACAAAGCTGGACATGAGTCACAATTACCAGCAGCTGCTGCTTGATAAGAATTCTAAACAGTATATAACCATTAACAAACACAAAGGCTTATTCAAAGGCAACTGCTTGGTGTTTGGGGTGGCTTCCAGTCCAGCAATTTTACAATGCACAACAGATAATCTACTGAAGGATATTCCTGGGATTGCTTTCTATTTAGATGATGTTTTAGTCACAGGCAAAACCAAGGAGGAGTACCTACGAAATCTAGAACAAGTGTTGAAGAGGATGTTGGAGGCTGGGCCACATTTGAAGTGCAGTAATTGTGTTTTTCAAGCTCCTAATAAGATCTATCTGGGCATTTCAGGTGAGAGGTTGTCTCCAGTTGAAGAGAAAGTTAGGGCCATTAAGGATGCCTAAAGCTCAAAGAATGTCACTGAGCTCAGGTCAATTTTGTGGTTTATGAATTATTATGGAAAATTCTTATTTGACTTGTGTACTGTACTGATGTCCCTCTATAATTTGCTTCACAAAGAAAGCTCTTGGAAGTGGCAGGCCAAGCAGAAAAGATGATCCAGCAGGTGAAGAAGCTGCTGCATTCAACAAAACTGCTTGTGCACTTTGATCCAGGCAAGCAAAGACATCATCCTTTCTTTTCATGCATTCTTTTTCACTGTATGGAAGAAGGCTCATAAAAGCCTATTGGATATGTGTTCTTTGGGAATCCAGAGTAATGGTTCCTCCCCCAGCACATGCTCAGGTAATGCAGGAGTTACATGAAGCTCACCTAGGAGCTTCAAGGATTAAAAGCCTTGCCAGGACATTTGGTTGGTGGCCTGGAATGGACCATGTCATAGAAGGGAAGGTAAAAGCATGTTTACAACCTCAAAGCAACCAGAAGTTGCCAGGACCAGCTCCACTCCATCCTTAGAAGTAGCCAGGGCGTCCTTGGTCCAGGCTGCACTTGGATTTTGCTGGTCCATCTATGGGGCACACTTTTTTGGTGCTAGTGGACTAAATGTGGATGCACCCATTGTGTCAAACATCACTGTCCCAAAGACCTTGAAGGTGCTTAGCTACACGTTTTACCAGTTGTTGTGGTCACTGATAATGGGCCCACATTTACCAGTGAGGTGTTCAGGAGTTCATGTAGAAAAATGGGATCTGTCATGTGCACACAGTGCCCTATCACCCTGCTTCAAATGACTTGGCAGAATGAGCAGTTGCAACCTTGAAAGAGGGACTAAAGAAAATGTCACATCTCTCTCTCACTCAATCAAGCGCTAACGTTTCTTGTTCCAGTATTGAATCAATCTGTATATAACAACAGGGCTTTTCCTGGAATAAATGTTAATAGGGAGAAGCCAAAGTCTCACCTGGACCTTCTCCATCCAGGTGTGAGGGCAACATTTGGACTGGACAGGAGAAACAGAAGGAGGGGCAGGGCTAACATGTTAAAAAGAGACCTGGTTTGAGCCAAAACCTGGCTCTCTGGGGTTATTCACAGTCAATCTAGTCCAGTGTCATCTGATGGGGAGCATGTACACAGACACGAAGATCATTTGCAGGCCTGCTCCCGAAACAGAAGAACACAGTAAGCAGTGCTAAGTGCAGTGATGTAAGGCAAGGACCATTGGAGAGCACAGAAATGGCTGCACCAGTTATGTCTGCTCCATCTATACCGAAAACACAGAATGTCAGCCTCCTCTGGGATGATGTCACCTTATTCACAGTGCG